ATTGGAATACCTAAAAGGGGTTCTAGAACTTGCCTAGTGAAATAGGCCTCTTGCAAAGCCTTTGCAGAGTATGAGACCTTAGGTGGAATCCTGAGTCCCATCCAGAACCTTATGATATGGGACATTTCCACTAGCAAAGACAACCAGACCAACCTGGAACTGCTAGAGCAACAGAAGATACACCTTCAAAGAAATATCATCAGGAAAAACCCAAAACAAAAATGTCAGCATGACTGGCCACTACAAGAATAAGCAAGCTGTTCACCAGGAAGCCATCAAGGCAAGCAATCAAGTTCCTTCAGGACAAACTCCCTCTAAGACTGAAACTCAAAGGGAATACATGAACAGGCATGTAAGCTTGCTGGCGACCACACTGGTGTACTGGTGAGTGGAAGAGGGGGAAAGGCAGCAATGAAGAAATGGGCTGAGCTCAACCACAGTCCATTGAATCCCACTGACCTGGAGATGAGAGAGAGAAGAGGAAGGGCTGGTTGGTCCAAAGTGTGGTGAGACTTGGGGACACTTGAGCCCATGGATAAGGACATGACTCTAGTCCCACAGAGGGTTAGAGCTGAGAGTGAAGCATCCAGCTGATATGAAGTGAGGGGAGATGCACAAGAACACCCAAACTTGCAGACAGTACTCATTTGACCTAGCCTCAATGGCTTGATAATCAGAACTCGACTAGAGGAAGATTACCCCCCCAAAAAATGTTTGTTTGTTTTTTTGATAAAGGAAACGAGTAAATTGCTACATTTTGATGAACCTGACCTATATTCATGGAGTTAGTAACTCTAAATACTTAAATACCAACAGAGAGGGAAGACCCCTCTGTCCACAGGGTAGATAGGGACAGGCAACTTAGACATTGGCTACCTAAAATGAGGAGACAATAAAGGCACAAAGTGACTGGCTTACAAGGTTTCAAGAGGGAGCTTAGTTTAAGAGTAGGGGGCTGGCGGAGAGTCCCCACTGAATAGTTTTCATCTTGTCTAGATGGGTCTGGTGAAAAGAGATGGGGATAAGATTTGTATGATTCAATGGCGAATAATTGTTATCATGACTAATTGCAATTGTCACAATTGTAAAGGTAGAATTTTTGTAACAAAAACAGGGGAGTAGTTAATCTTACAGTCCAGAAACAGAGGACCCTAGGACCATCAAAGGAGAAGAGCACAAACAGAATGTAGGACCTTTTCCAGAGAATCAGGGACACCAGAGATGGAGGCAGTGATCAGGTCATGGAGAGAGGGAGCGACTGAGGACTCTAGATTCATGGGAAGAGAGGGATTAAGAGCTGGTGGCCAGGAGGCAGACTTGCAGAATGTGCCCTTTGGAGGTGTAAATTATTGTATATGCCTGAGTTTTGTTTTGTTTAAAGCTAAAGTGAATAGAGAGAAATACTGTTAACTTATGGCACATGGAGGGGATTATAGTCATTGTAATGAAACAAGGTGTGTGATTTATTGAATGTAAAACTGATGTTCTGCTATGTAAACTTTCATTCAATCCTCAATAAAAGGCTTGAAAAAAAAAATGAAATGGAACCATAAAAATCAATATGCTATGCATTAGTGATCTCAAATTGACCATTTTGAATTGCTCATCATATGGTTTTTCATTGGGCAAATCTTCTGCAAAAGACCTTTGTAAAGTGTTAAATAGTGAAGATGTCACTTTAAGGACTAAGGTGTCTCTGGCTCAAGTAATGGTATTTTCAATTACCTCATATTCATATGAAAGTTGTACAATGAGTAAGAAAGACTGGAAAAATAGATACATTTGAATTATGATGTTGGTGAATATTGAATAAAGTATTCAATAACACTTCTGTGCTTATAGACAATAAATTTTGTTGTTGTTAGGTGCCATTGAGTCAGTACTGACTCATAGTGACCCTATGCACAACAGAACGAAACAATGGACTGCCAGAAGAATAAACAAATCTGTCTTGGATGAAGTATAAGCAGAATGCTCACGTCAGAATGGTGAGACTTTGTCTCTTGTACTTTGGAAATGTCAGGTAGGACCCTCCTTGGAGAAGGATATCATATTTAAAGTGCACGGTCAGTGAAAAAAGAGGAAGACCTTTCAATAAAATGGATTGACACAGTGGCAGCAACAGTGGATTCAGACATGCCAATTGTGAGGATGGCACAAGACTGGGCAGTGCGTCCTCTTGTGCATAAGGGCAGTCATTGTGAGTTGGAACCAACTAGATGACACCATACAACAACAACATGCTGTTTCCACTGCCTCACCAAGTTCTTCCACCTACCAGGTACGCACCCTTCTTATTCCATGTCCCATCAATCCATGCATCTTCTGGGCCACCTCCCCCTTGGTTCTCTGTGCCACATGCAGACACTCTGTCCTGGCTTGGGCCACTTGAATGTATTTCTCTTTGTCCTTTTCAGACCCTGGGTCTTTATGGGACACAAACAGGTCTGACCTGCCTCAGCTGCCCAGAATGGCTCATAGAACCTACTCCCACTGCCACTGAGTCTATTCCAACTCATCGTGACCACACAGGATGTAGTGAAAATGCTCTTTAAAGAGTTCCTGGTACTGAATCTTTACAGGAGTAGATAGCCTCATCTTTCACGCATGAAAGTCACTTGAATATGTGCAGATGTGAGTGTGAAGATGAAAAGTGGATTTACACAGAGCCTCCAAGGCCTTTCTAAGACACCCAGCCTGAATAAGATCATCTTGTTGTTAAGTGCCCACGAGTCGGTTCTGACTCACAATGACCCTGTATAGGATTTCCAAGGAGTAGCTGGTGGATTTGAACAGCAACCTTGCAAATCAAACCAACCTTGCAGTCCAGTGCTTATCCTACAGTGCCACACCAGGATAAGACCATACAAGTAGTTAAAACAAGGATGAACAAATGAAGGATAGGAAAGGAGGTGGGGAGCAAGCAGGCATGGGCTGGGGGACCAGGGGAGCACCATGTGGAAGTCACCCCTACACAGGCAGGAAGGCGACTCAGAGAAGGCCTCCTTAGAATATCAGTGTGCTTCTGTTACTAGGTGACTCTTCAGCGACCGGGAGGCTTGAATGTGTCTGGTGGGGTGGGTTGGCACCCAGGTGTCCTCTTCATGCTGGGTGAGGTACTTTTTCATTCTTCTTGTTGCTATTCTTTGATGGGCTTCGTTCGCCATTTATTCTGTTGATTTCCCATCACTGCTTGGCAAAAATAGACCCAAGTGAATCACAGTGTTGATGATAATTTCTGCTCCTTAGAAAGTTCGGCCATCTGGAAAGAAATTTGGGAACAATGCCTAATGTCATCAACAGTGGGGTTCTCTCTCTATATATATATATACTTAGTGGGGAAGCGAAGCGAAGCATTAGGTCCCTCTTCCGTAAAAAGGATATAATAACAGCCCTTTTGTTAGAATCTTGCTCTAGATCGGTGTCATCAAGTAGATTCCAACTCATTATAACCCCATGTGACCGTAGAACTGCCCCATATGGCTTTTTTGGCTGTAATCTTTTTAGAGACAGATCGACAGGTCTTTCTCTTGAAGAGCTTCTGAGTGGGTTCAAACCACCAACCTTTGTTAGCAGCTGAGCGCTTAACCATTTGCGCCATAATATTAAATAAACTGCTCCCTAAAAAGTGATCAGATCTGAGTCTGGGACACAGAAGGTACACAGCCCTCATCAAGCTCCATTGTATGAGCTGCCATTTTACAGAAGGGCAACTGAGGCTCGCTCAAGATGCCATGGTTTACGCAGTCCCTACGCTCCGCGGGAGAAAGATGAGGCAGTCTGCTCCCGTAAAGATTTACAGCCTCGGAAACCCTGTGTAGGGTCGCTATGAAAAGGAACCGACTCCACGGCACACAACAACAACAACAACAACAACCAACCCAGGCAGCGGCGATGGTCCGGGCCAAGATAACACCGCTCGATTGGCCACCGCCTCAGACACAAGCGGACAGGGCCATGCCCAGCGGAACTTGGGGCTGACCAGCCAACACCTCGGAGCCTTCTATGGGAGCACGCTTCCGGTTGAAACAGGAAGTGCGTGCTCGCGTCGCGGCTCAGAACTGCAATTCCCAACATCCTCCGTGTCGCGTCATAGTAGATGCTAGGGGGAGCGGTCGCCATTGTCCGTGGCTGAGGTGAGACCGCCGCTACCGCCAAGGGGCAGCCACCACTGCCAAAGATCCACAGGATCGCGAAAGCCGGCGGATAGCAGTGAGCGCCAGCGAGCTGGGCTGTTGCCACGCACGGGTGGGCCACACGGCCCCCGCGCCTTGCTGTTGCTTCGTCGGCTCGCGTCCCCGTGTCCCGGGGGCCCGCTCCGGCCATCAGACCCTTCAGCCGCCTGCCCGTGCCCCTCCCCGGTCTCCCGGTCTTGCTGGACCAGGCGAACCCCAGTGAGCCGCGCACATTGGTCCTGGCGTCGGTTCGGGGTCGTCGGCCCTTTGTCCGCGAGCAAACCGGGGCGGACCTCGGCGCAGGACGAAAGCAGACGGCGTCGGGAAGCGAGTCCCGGGAAGGGCCGGTGGGCTGTGGAGCAGGTGAGCCGGCGTGAGGCCTCCTCGGAGGCCGTTCTCCCCGGCGGTCGGAGTGGCTTCTATAGCTTTCAGTGGGAGCCGAATCGGCGCCTTCCAGAAGGGGCAGACAGGCTTGCGTCTGGTACGTGGCGCACCGAGGGTCTCTGCTAGCGTAGTGGTTACCAATCGGGCTGCAAACCTGAGGGTCAGCAGTTCGAAACTACCCGCCGAGCCGCGGGAGAGAGATGAGGCTTTCTGCTCCCATAAAGACTTACAGCCTCGGAAGCATTGCACAGGGTCGCTATGGGACTCCACGGCATATAACAACAATTTAAAGTAACATGTTACGTAAAATCCACTGTTTTAGAACGATTTTAAGGTGTATAAGTCAGTAGTTTAGCCTAGTTACAGCGTGGTGCAACCATCATTACTACAGGGGTTTCTAGGAACAGCTGGTGAGCGTGAACCTCCGACTTTGCAGTTCAGACGGACTCCAATCAACAACAATGCAGTGGTTGTAGCGGATCTGCAGTGTTGTGCAACCATCGTTCCTACCTAATGCAGAACATTTGTGCCACTTCTTAAAGTGACTCAGTACCCGGTAAACAGACATTCCCTAGCCCTTTGCCTCCAGCTCCTTGCAATCACTAATCTATTTCCATTCTCTGTGGGTTTACCTGGAGTCTCTGGGATGGCACTGGAGGATAAGCACTGGACTGCAAGGTCGGTTTGAAGCGCAAGGTTGGTGGTTCAAACTCAACAGATGTTCCTCAGAAACCCTGTCCCAGGTCACTATGAGTGGAAACCCACTCGACAGCACTTAACTCCAACAGCAGTGTGTTTACCTCGTCTGAATAGTTCATATAAACAGTGGAAGCCTGTTGGAGAAGGAAAACGTCAATATTTACCAATAAAACAAGTTGTAGGGAAGTGGTATGACTGTAGCTTGTCAAGTTCCCGCCTCACAGGAGTCCCTCTACACAGACACACACACACCTAGGTGTGGAGTTGCTCGTCACTCTGCTTATCTTTTGAAGAACTGTCAAACTTGTCCTAAGTGACTGCTCCATTTTATATTCCCACCAGCCTTATATGAGGGCTGCATGTGGATTTACAATAATTACTGTTAGATTTGCTGGAAAATGTTGTGACTGTCTCTTAAGCATATAAATCAACTTGAGAACAGTTGACAAATTTCTTAAGATTTTACTCTCTTTCAGCATATTTAAGTTACCCTTCATTTCTCTCTCGGAATTCTGTTTTTGACATGTAAATTATGTTTTCTTAAAATACTCCCTTACTCATGTTTTGTTGTTTACTGAGTCTTCTCTAAGAAAGGACAACTTTATTATTTTTCCCTTGTGTCATTAGGTTGGTATCACTTGAATCCCACCTGCCTGGGCCAGTGTCTTGGTAATCCGTCCTGTGGATGGCAGCCATCAACCCATGGGCCTCCTGGGGTGAGTCCACATCTTGTGTCTTCTAGGCCTGGAAGGTGGACCTCTGCGAGCAGTGTTCTGTTGTAGCCAGGAGTCCAAGCTGAGGAGGCTCTGGCAGAAAATGGTCTTTCTATCTTTGAGTATTGGAATTGAAGGGCTTCAAAAATCATGGTTGCTGGTGAGGGGTGAAAATTGGTATAAAATAAAGCATGTTTCTGTATGTTTTATAATTAGCTCCTGAGAAGTTTTTGTGGGATTTTTTTCCCCCCTCAGAAGTTTTAACAACTTTTAAGAGATTATCCATTGCTTTTTGGAATTTATTAGAACATAATCAGAACATACTATCAAAATATTTTCTTTATCACTCCCATAGTTTAGTTTTTATCCTTTTTTTTTTTTTTTTAAGTCACTTTTGTAGCATTTTCTATAATTCAAAAACAATGTTAATTGAAAAGACCCAGCTTATTGGTCAGATAGAGCCTGGAGGAAGCCCGTGATCATCCTTTAGGTCTGGAACTGAACTCTTCAGCCAAGCAGTCGGTCGGCAAATAGGAGTGCCCACACTGGTGAGGGGCACACAACATAGGTAGTCATTTGGCATCAAGAGGGCAGCAGTGACCCGAGGACAGAATTGAGAAGGGTGAGGAATGGAAACCCAGGGAGGAAAAGGGATCGATGCTGTTACGCTGAGATGACTGCAGTTGAGATCAGAGAGTATTGTACAAGATTCCTGTGCCGCTGGTGATCTGTTCTGTCAGCCTTCATGTAATTTACAATAAAGAGTTATAAAATAATAACAACCCCAAACAACTTGTTAGTGAGGTTGGGGGGATCCATTTATTAAAGACCCTTCCACTGTTTAAGGGCTCTGTTCTTCTTTGCTCTGGGGCTACATTATCACTATGTGACCCAGCTGTGTGTTTCTAATATAAATCTAGTTTTACTATGTTGTATTTGTAAAAACATGCCCCTGCTTCTGTTTATGGACATTGTCACCCCAGAAAGGCTTCCTTTCTAGGCTTGGTGTCATGCTGTCTTTCCGTATCTTGCCCTAACCCATTCTCTTGTGCAGGTGCCCTTATGGACCAGTCCTGGAGGATGGCGGCCATCAGCCCTTGGGCCTCCTGGGCAGAGTCCACACCCTGCATCCCCTTCACCTGCCGGGGCGTGGCCTCTCCCAGCAGAGACCTGCTACAGCCAGGAGTCAGAGCCTGGGAGCCGGGTGAGGACTTGAGGGCAGAGGGGTCTGGTTGAGATCTGTGTTGGAGCAGGGGTGATGAAGAGGTTCTTTAGGGGTATAACATGATATCTCTAGGGCAGGGCCCATGAGAACCAGCTTGGGGCCCTGTAAGGCTGGGGCCTAGACAGGCTGTATGCAGAGAGCCATCCAGGGCTGCTGCTCACAGGCTCCCTCACACTGGGGAGCAGGAGGGCCATGACCCAGCTGCTCAGATGCATCCTTTACCTTCTCTGAGCCCTCTCACCTTCGTCCTCAGTACAGAAAAGCCTCCTCCCGTGCCCAAGAGACAGGAGCCATCCCCCCGCCCCAGGAAGAAGGACTTGTGGGATGCTTTCTGGCTGGGATAGCTGCCCTGTGACTTTGCTCTTTTCCCTCAGCTTTGTATCCTCAGAACCTGAGCTGGCCTGTGGAGGGGACCCTCCAGGAGGAGAGGCGCAGGGCCCCCTGGCTCCCACCAGCCCAGGGCCAGGTGAGACAGGGCTTCTGTTGTTTCCTGGAGGGCCTGCCTCCCTGTTCCCAGAGGGTGGGTGTTCGGATGATGGCCCAGCTGTCCCAGTCGATGTGCTTCTGCCATGTATAAGAGCTAAACTTGGGGCAGTGAGAAAGTTACCCGTAAGTTTACAGATCATACCGGTTTTCTGAGCTTACCTTGGAAGAGGTTGGGCAGCATGGGATTCCTGTAATTGATTCTCAGGTCTTGGAGCCTCCGCTCTATGCCTTGGGGTTGTTTCTGGGGCTGAGGGGTGGCTCCTTCTCCTACCTCCTCCCATCTTCCCTCCCTGTGTCTTGAGTGCCCTGTGCCACACCTGATCTGGGCGAGCCTGCGCAGTGAGCACCTAGACCTCCTTCCAGGCTTGCTTGCTCAGCTCTGTGGCCTTATGGGACCTAGGAGCCTAAGATGCATAAGGGAGACCCTGGCCCTGGGTCCCTGGTAACTGGGGGGTGGGCCCAGTGTAGGATGGGGTCGTGTCACTTTAGGGGTGGGGGCTGGCCAGGTACATAAGCACTGAGCCGGGAGCTGAAGAGGAAGGTCTCCTGTAGCACATGGAGTGGATTTGGGGGGCAGGAGTGCACTGCATGTCCAGTGCCTGGCAGAGGACGAGCACAGACTAAGGTGACTGATGCCTGCTCTGCAGCTAGACTCCATTCCTGGTGGACTCTGGGAAGCAGGCGGATGTGTCAGGGTTCAGGCTAGCCAGAGCCTTGGGGTCTGGGGAGAGGCAGGAGGCTTTGTGATTGAGGATACTTGGGCATCCCCAGGGGCAGTGGGAGGAGATATGGGAGAGCATCATCTTCCTCCTCCTCCTCCTCGTACTTCCTTCCCAGAAAGAGTCACTGCGAGAAAACTTTTTTTATTATAACAGCTCTGTTGAGATGTAATTCACATACCTGAAACTTCACCCGTTTAAACTGTATTGTTGAGCGGTTTTGAGTGTTCACAGACTTGTGCCGCTCCCCTCAGATCTTTCTCTAAAGCATTTTCATACCAAAGAGGACCCCATTAAGCAATCACTCACTCCATCTCCCCCAGCCCCATCTAACCTACTGTCTGTCTCTGTGGATTGGCTTCTTTTGACTCTTTATATAAAGGAAATCCTACGCTCTGGGGTCCTTGGTGTGTTGGGCTTCTTTCACTCCGTGTAATGTTTTCTCAATACTTCATTAGTTAGTTGGGCCTAGAGGCAGCTACTTGTAACTTTGTTTTCCGTTTCTTAGGGTTACCTCCATGTTTTTAAAATGAGAGATTTTAGTCTGCTTTTCTTATTCATCAACTTTATATTTACTCTTTTGAGTAATTATCCAACTCTGAAAGGTGAAGAAAACTCATTTCATTACTATTTTAGTACTTTAATCTGTAAGGTAAAATAATGAATCATGCAAGTATGAAACTGTGGTATAAAAATACTAATAAAGTCTCTACCTAACTTTATCCCTCTCCCTCCAAAATTACCTAAATCATAAAGCAATCAGGAAGACCCCACAGTTTAAACTGACGGGTGTCTGCATTTGAAGTGTGTCGTCACCTCATGGCAGATCTGCGATTCCCAGGATGCACAATGGGCAGGACATAAAAGGGTGCTGGTTGTCTGGCGTCTGAACTTGGAGCTGTAATGTTTGCGGCTGTTCCTCTGTATAATACGTTTCGATCCTCTTACAGTCTTCAGCAGGGACGCTGAACTAGGTTGAGAGGTGGTCCCTTGAGTCAGTGAATTGGGAATATAAGTTAGCTGTAATAAAACACAATGGAGACCCCCACCACCACCACTAACTGCTGAAAAATAAATGCTGATATAATAAAATAAAAATAATTTAAAATAACAACACCTTCCAGTGTCTGAAGAGTTGTGATTTCTGAGAAGCCGCCCCGGCCCCTGCCTGCACTCACTTTGAATTTTTCCCTGTGAGAAAGTCTGACTTGAACCACATGAGTTTGAATTAAGCGAGGCCTTCAATGACACAGATAAGAGCCTTGTGTCTCACTGTTGTCCCCTCTAAGTTAAACATTTACTAAACTTAAAACATTTCTCTGGTGAAAACCCCTCCAAGTTAAACATTTACTAAAAACATTTCTCTGGTGAAAACATCAAATTCCGTCTTCCCTCGCTATCTGAATCTTGTCTTTAAAAATGTGCTTTATGGTGAATTTTCACCTAGTGGCATCCTAGGTCCCATTATTTTTGAGGAATAGGAAAAATAATGTTCCCAACCCATCTAAAAATCCCAGTTAGCTTCCCCAAATTGAGCCCATTTTCACACTCCACCAAGGGTTTCGGCGTAATCAGCATTATGCACATGAAACGCTGATATGGAATACTCGATCCATCCTGGCAGTACAGGAGTGTACATAGTCATGTTTTCCTTCAGCTTTGCAAAGAGCTTGTGCTGAAATACTAACAGATGCTGAAGTCATCATCTGAACTGCCCAGGCCCCCATTGGAGGCAAAATTTGGGTCCCATGAAGGGGTCAGCCCTATAGTATGGCAGGAATGAGGGGATCCGCTAACCTCTTAACCCTCACCTGGTGTAAGCTTGTTCTGACTTGTTAGCTAAACCCATCAAGTGCTTTTTAATGATGCTTCCATGTCTGTACGAAGTGGTATGTTCAAGAACATGTAAGAAACATCTGCAGTCCTTGTGGCAGACAATGGTGGAAAGTACAAACTCAGCTAGTAAGGGCTGCCTGAATTTTCAAAGAGCACATTCCCCACCTTTGCTGTTCTGCCACTGGTCACCCCAAAACCAGATTATAGGCTGGGACCTGAATTTCCTATCAGCAACCCTAGAGAGCCCCGCTCCCTGATAATCGCTCTCTCAAATTTTCCTGACATTTCATTTTGCAGCCTGCCTTGTCTTGCAATTTCAGGCTGAGAGCATTCCCAGTGCCTCTCTTTCCACCCCTAAGACGTCTCTGGTTTTATCAGTGTTAGGAATGTTCCTTTTAATTTAAAACTTCATTTTGATATATGCCAAAAAGTATAAAAAATAATCCAGCAAACACTGCCCCAATCACTTGAGATGAGCATTTGTTAATGTTGTGTCACACGTTGTTTTCATTTTTAAAATAATCCCCACTTATATTCTCCTGTATCAGAAGATTTGGTGTGCGTCCAGCTCATTTATTTTCATAAATTTGCATAGCTAATAAATGATATATCCAACAATATCGATATATCGTATTTTCAGAAAAAACAAAACCCAGTGTGTTCTACAGGTGGCTTTTCTGTGGTTTTCTCTGATCGTTGAAGGTCAGCTGAGGTCCATCCATGGTGACAAGCAGCTCAAGTTCATTCCCTTTGCTCTGCCAGGTAGCGTCCATCAGAGAGGCATACCTCCTTCCGTCTTCATCCCTTCTTTTATGGGTGAGCTTTTTAGTCCCCCTCTTCCCACCCCTAGTTTTCTTCTATTCCAGCCAAAGGTTTGTGCATATGTGTAAGTGTATAACTACAAGGTCGGTAGTTCAAACCCACCAGCCATTCTTTGAGAGAAAGATGCGACTGCTCTCAAAGATTTACAATCTCAGAAACCCTACATAAGGTTGCTATGAATCCCAGTCTGCTCCATGGTAATGGGTTTGGTTGGTTGATGTTTTTCTTTCTTTCTTTCTTCCTTCCTTTCCCTCCCCTCCCCTTCCCTTCCCTAGAAATCATTTTGGTAGGTCCTGTTACGTGCCATCAATTCATAGCAACCCTGTATAGGGGTTCCAAGGATCGCTTGGGGGGTTTGAACCACTGACCTTGCTGTTGCGCCGCACCAGGACTCCACTGCTGGGTCCTCGGGTGTATGTTTTCAGTATTGCATGGCTTTCTTAAAGCCCAAAGCTGGTTCTCCCCACTTGAGGAGGGTTCACATCTGGATTTTTGCAGACACTGGGCATTATGTTGTAGTTTTTTCTTATAGTATGGCCTAAGATGAACAAGGGGTTTCAAAAAGTTGGTGGGAACATGGAATTAAAAAAGAATGAAATTTTCCATGAACTTTTTGAAGTCCTCTTATTGCATTAGCGTTTCAGTTTGCATCTTCTCAGTTGCTAGTGAGGTACATCTTTTCATGTGTGTGCTGGCCATCTGGTTCTCTTTTGGTACCCCCTCTCTCCACTCCATGTGTCTCACCTGCTCCCTGGATTTCCGTGGGTTCTGACTCACGGCAGCACAGGCGAGGCATTCACGGTCACATGATGCCGGGGCTTTGCCATTTAATTACCTTTACTCAGTCTGGTACTTGTCTTAACTTAGTCACCTTTTCTTTGTCAACTGTTTCTTGGTATAATTTAGTTCATGGCTGGTATTCTTGGAGCCTTTTAAAGAAGTATTTTTTAAGATTTTATTGTGAATTGAGTGATAGTTTACATGGGAGAACATTGATTTTACACTCATTGTTTCATTGCAGTGATTAAAATTCCCTCCGTGCATCATCGTTAACAGTATTTGTTTGTATTCTCTCTGGTTTTTTTTTTTTTTTTGGGGGGGTGGTGGAGGGTGGCGAGGGATGTACGCAAAAACTCTCAGGAATATATAATCATTTAAACAACCAAAGGGAACATTCTGCAAGCTTGCCTCTTGGCCGCCAACAAACAGCCTTTCTCTTTATGTGAGTCTAGAGTCCTTAGCTGTTCTCTCTCTCTACGTCCTCATCTCTGCCTCCATCTCTGGTGTCGCTGCTTCTCTGGATAGGGTCCCACATTCTGCTCGTGCTCTTCTCCCTTAATGGTCCTAGGGTCCTCTGTTCCTGGATTATAAAATTAACGACTCCCCCCTTTATGTTAAGTCTTTTAAAAAATAATTTCTACCGTTTCTTTCTCTTTCCAGCACCTTCTATTTGACAGTGGGCCTCTTTTTGAGGGTAGTGTTTGGGGCCTTGCAGTCATGTTCTTACCATCATAGAGCCTCCTCAACTGACACTGTATCTTCAATCTGTTTTCAAAGAGCTCTTTCCTCTTCTCTTTCCATGTGGGGCCTCTTCAGCTGACTT